TAGAAAATTTATTAAATATATCGGATAGTTGAAATATTTAAAATATATACATAATATTTCAAAACCATTGATCAAATAATCTTATTATAATTTTTAAGGTCACTGTGTATGTTTGAAATGTTTTTAAAAAGTATAATTTAAGGTTATTAATAAACACTGATAAAATACTATGTTGAAGGTTAGAGTGTGTAATGAATACTGGCTCAACAAAGTTATGGAGAAACGCTGTTGTTATTGAGGACAACTTTGGACAATCATCCACATATAAATATGACAAATCCTTGAAGTGATATTGAGTGTGTAAGCTTGAACAAAGGTCAACGAGGTTGGGCAATTCTACGAGGTAAAGTTCTTGTAGATTTGGAAGCATTTAGTGCTTCTACTTGTGGAAAGCTTCTAATGACATTGGCGGAAAAGGCACTCTTCATTTTACTGCATTTGGACACTGTTACCTCTTGAAGCCTGTAGAAATTGATTAAAGACGGGCCCTTCCATTGAAAGTCGGAGACTTGAGTAGACATGGCCTCATCATATCCCTCTACGCCCTGCAAATCCAATATTAAAAATAGTTATACCCTAAAATTAAACATGAATAGCATTTTATGTAGCTTCTAAAAATTAAAGATTCATCAGTACCATTTGTAAATATTCTGAAATTGGAGCAAATTTGGGACATGCTTCAATATGAATGTGAGTAAAAAATATTAAAAATCAAAAGCTCGATTTAGATTAAATAATTAGTTAGTAGTTTCCGATTTTTGAATTATTTTTGAGTGGATTATCATAGTCTTGTTACATCAAATAGCTCTCTTTCTATTACTGTCACAATAACATCATGGAGCATTTTCTGTAACTAGCAAAATGGCTATTCTCTGTTTAAAAACAAACAAGATATTATTTAGGAAGTAATTAATTATGTCTAACTTACCAGTTGTTGTTTCTTTGTAGATGGCAAATGTGGGTAACAGTCTTTCTCGCATATTTTTAGAAAACATGAAAGTTCCTCTAGCTCGAGTATTCTTAAAAGAGGAAAGAGGTTCTGAATTTGGAATTGAGAATTGTGATAATCCACTTGAACCATATTAATTTCACTTTCTTCTTCTCTTATCATATGTTCCAATATGTCACACCTTGACAACTTCATTTCTTCAAGCTTCAAAAGATTTTGGGCAGTGGACATTGGGAACAATGATGCCAACTTAGGACATGATTCTATGTTTAAGCATTTGAGATTTCATATTTTGTTTTTTCTTGAAAATATGCTCTTCAGATCAATACAAGAAGATAATTCTAACTTTTCTAATTTGGGATGGGACACTATTCGGTCTTACCTCTAGGAAAAAGTAACCGAGTACCCCTTCGGTCTAATATAGCTGAATACCCGTTATCAGATTAAAAGGTAATTAATCCAATTAAGGGTAATAATTAGAATATTATCTACTTTAATTAAAAGGCGAAAACCAAGGCTGACTCAATAAGCCTATTAGCCCATAACAATGCCTATAAAAGGAAGGTAGGAAGTACAGGTAAAGAGTAGACTTTTTAATATAAAATAGCATTTATTACTCAAAATCGAATCCTGACTTCAGCATCGGAGTGCCTTTTGCAGGTACCCTCCCCACATCAAGTAATGTTAGCATGATACGGAAGGACGTCACCCTATCCAAGTAGAGACTTGAAGACTAGTGTTTCTCAAACAGGAACATTTTGGCGCCCACCGTGGGGCACGAATAGTCTCGCTTTTTCAGTCATCATGGTACTAACAAGAAGCTAACAGGAGGGACAAAATTATCAAGCACAAACTTCTCGTCAACAAGAAAAGGTCACACCCAATCAACCGATCCCTGAAGTTTTGGCCAAAAGAGGGGGAGATGCAAGCCTCTCTTTTGTAGTAAGACAGCTCCAGGCCAAGATGAGAGAAATGCAACAGGTCAGAGAGAAAGACACTCTTGAGATGTTGGCCTTAAGGAGGGAGAACACTAACTTGAGGGAGGAAATTAAAACCCATATACCCTCTCAAACTACCCCGTTCGCTCAAGAATAGGGAGAGTCCTCGGCATTGCAAGAAAAGCCTAAGGGAACTCCACAAGTTGAAATCCCTACTGAACGAGACAATGTCTCGGGTCGAAGCTCTTTTATTCAGCCTATCCTGGAGGCTAAGTTACCCAATAACTGGAGAGGTTTAATGTTAGAAAAGTATGATAGAACGACTGATCCAGGAGAACACTTGGATATTTTCATAACCCAAGTCGGTCTGTATACAGAAAATGAAGCCTTATGGTGCAGAATTTTTTCCACTTCCCTTCGAGGACCAGCCCTCAGTTGGTTCACCAGGCTACCCCTTCGTCCATCGATTCGTTTCCAACCCTCACCAGACGATTCAATTTATAGTTTTCCACTAGTCATCCTCATCAACTGACCTCGTTGGCTTTGGTTAATATTTACCAAGAGAAGAAGGAAACACTCAGGTCGTTTATGGAACATTTCGGGCAAATGGTCCTCTCTATCCGGAACTTAGAACCAGTAGTTGCGATGCACCATCTTACAACAACCCTTAGGTCAGGGCCGTTTGTCAACAGTATCTACAAAAAAACTCCTATTGACCTCAATGAACTACGTTGTCGAGCAACCAAGTACATGCAAATGGAAGAACTGGCCAAGTTTCACAACCAAGCCCAGATGGAGCAAGTGCCCAGTTGAAGAGAATCTAAAGGGAATGAGCATTATTCGGTCTTACCTCTAGGAAAAGGTAACCGAGTACCCCTTCGGTCTAATATAGCCAAATACCCTTTGTCAGATTAAAAGGTAATTAATCCAATTAAGAGTAATAATCAGAATATACTCTACTTTAATTAAAGGGCCAAAACAACAACTAACTTAGCAAGCCCATTAGCCTATAACAATGCCTATAAAAGAAAGGTAGGAAGTACAAGTAAAAAGTGGACTTTTTAATATAAAATAGCATTTATTACTCAGAACTGAATCCTGACTTCAGCGTCGAAGTGCCTTTTGCAGGTACCCTCTCCACGTCAAGTAACGTCAGCAAGATATGGAAGGACGCCACTCTATCCAAGCAGAGACTTGAAAACTAGTGTTTCCCGAACAGAAACAATTCCACTTTCTTCTTCTCTTATCATCTGTTCAAATATGTCACACCTTGACAACTTCATTTCTTCAAGCTTCAAAAGATTTTGGGCAGTGGACACTGGGAACAATGATGCCAACTTAGGACATGATTCTATGTTTAAGCATTTAAGATTGCATAAATTGCTTTTTCTTGAAAATATGCTCTTCAAATCAATACAAGAAGATAATTCTAGCTTTTCTAATTTTTGGATGAAGCCAAATTCATGTGGAGAAATTTTATTGATGACGCATTCTTTCTTGTCACAATTGTCAAGACAGAGCTCAGTCAATTCATTCATGCCTCCTACAGCTTGAACCACTTTAGGGATGAAGCTTTTACAATCTCCTTGAAGTTTAAGTAAATGAACTATATTTATTCTTTGTAAAAGAGCCTTGGTAACTTTTCCTGGATTTAAAGTATTAAACTTTTCCATGTAGAAAACTCTGTTAGGAACATTCAATTCATGAATAACTGAATCTTCCACCCATCCCCATAAGGATAAAACATATGAATCCTTAACATCTTCATCCTCTAATAATTCATGTAGCATTTGTCCTGCATATAGCTCAATGGTTTTTTTCTCTTTGCGTGTTATCCATAAGACTGCATCATGAACCAAATCATGCATTTTTACATGTTTCTTTTCTTCTTTAGAATAACTTAGCAAAGAAGATTCTATGAGATTTTCAATTGCCACATTCACTTTGCACCTTATTATTTCAAAAGAGTCAACTTCCTCACGTATTCCCAATCCTATTCCATATCTAAAAGATCTTCAACTTCAATCTCATGATCTTCTGGAAACATACTACACATTCGCAAGATTGACTTGGCTGCTTCACTTCTGAAATGATAATAGCTTAATTTAAGACAAGTGAAAGCATTTCTATCCCTTCATCCACATCAACTGGTTTTGAAAGCTTTAGATCATTCAATGCTGATATCCACCAACTGTCAGACTTCCCCTTCAAGGCAGCTCCCAAAGATAAAATTGCAATTGGAAGCCCTTTGCATTCCTTAATTATTTCCAATGCCACTTCATTCAATGCACCATTTATGCCAGAATGCATTTTGAACAAATGCTGAGATTCCACTTCTGATAAGAGATTTAGGGGAATTTTCACCTTACAACCCATCAAATCACATACTCGTAGACGACGTGTGGTCATAAGGACTTTGCAACCTTTTCTGTGGTCACCCTCGGTAGGAATCCCAATTTCCTCAAAATCAAGCTTCTTCCAAACATCATCCAAAATTATTAAAATTCGTTCTCCACTGTTAATTCTCATTGATAATGGCTTTGCCCTTCCAGAAATACTTGTTTCCTCAGGTTTAAATCCTAAGAAATCTTTGATTTCATTTTGAATATTATTGATTTGTGGATTTTGGGAAATTGTGGTAAATATGACATGATAAAAAATCCCTTCTTTCTTTACTTTCTTGCCCACTTCTTTTGATAAGGATGTTTTTCCTTATCCTCCTATCCCATAGAAACCAATGACATATGTACCGGATAAGACACTACTCGGCCTTACCTACAGGAAAAGAGAACCGAGTACGGTCAAGATAAGCTGAATACCCTCTCGCCTAGGATCAAAGGTAATTAACCCAATTAAGGTTAACAATCAAATTATTATCTACTCTAATCAAAGGGCCAAAACTAGAGCTGACTCAGCAAGCCCATAATATTTTTTATAAAAGGAAGGTAAAAAGTACATGTAAAAGATTGATGTTTAAATATTAAATAACATTTATTGTTCAAAACCGAGACCTGACTTAAGCATCAGAGTGCCTTTGCAGGTACCCTCCCCACGTCAGTAACGTAGGGAAGAACGTCATCCTACTCAAGCGGAGATCAGAAAATTAGTGTTTCTTAAACAGGAACAACATAGTTATTGTCATCTTTGAGAGCTTCCAAAAGTTTATGCTCAGCCTCCTTTGTAGACTTGAAGAGCATAAAATTTCCAGAAGAAGAAACTTCAAAATTTGAAGGTGGGAAAGGGTGTGAAAAGGGATTGAATGTACTTTCTTTATTCAGGAATTTCATTCTCTCTATTTTCTCCGGCAATTGTTTGCACAAACAATATCGCTTCCAAGTAGGACACCACCCTCGAAAGCAGCCATTGTTGGAATTTAGCTCTTGTTGCAAATTCTCCACCTCTAATATGATTTTATTCACATCATTAATCCATGTTTCAACAGCCTCCTCAGCTTCTTCTACTTTCCTCCAAGCTTCCTCAATTCGTTTCTCCTCCTTCCCTTTTGTTGATTTAAGCTCCTTCTTTTCAATCTGAAGATTTCTTGAGAAATTTCCAACGCAAAACAAGTATTGTCCTTCACGCAATGTTGGATCTACCAAATATTCAGCAAGTTTGGATGCAATGGATATTATGAATTCTGTAATCTTGAATAAGTTAAAGGCAACCTGCAAAATGAGGATTTAGATTTATTACATAAGCATTGAATATAAAAAATTCTTCGAAAGTTGTAACTTAATGACACAATATGTAGATTAGCGAGAACTTTATATTTTCAATCAATGAAATCGAATTAACATAGAACTGTGACTTAAATTTATTTTTCTAAACTTAATTTTTGTATTCTTTTATAAGATAGTTTAAGGAGTAAAATAAAACAACTTTAATAAAATATTTTTAAGCTTCTAAAAAAGAATATTAAACAAAGATTACTAAAATATAACGAAAAAAAGAATATAATTTTTTAAGAACGTTAGAAAAAAAAAAAACAACAACAAAAACGATCCTATTTCATCTTATGCTTTGATACAACTCTCCTATTTCAAGCCACCAAGAAAGTTTAACATTAGAAAAGTTCTCTTACCGAATTTCATGAATCATAAAATTTATCTTTTAGGGGTTCCCAACTATATATAAACTAATTGAATTGTTAATGGTTAAAGTGCAAGAACAAGTAAGCAACAATACTTGAAATTAGCAAAAAAAAAAAAAAATGTTTTTTTTATACAAGAGATATCTTTATAAAAGATGAGACTCAAATAAATTTAGGATTTCTAACGTGTAATATTTCAAATTCTTTGAATATAAATAAAATTCTATCTTTATTATTTACTATTTCGTTTTTATAATAGAATCTAATGTATCATTTTTAATATGATTTAAACCTTAAACAGATTGTATGTACGAGTTAGAAATTATTTTCTATGACATAAATGGAACCAAATAAAATATTTTAAATATAAGAGAAACAATATAATTAAAAAAATTACTCTAAAATAATAATAAAATAGCTACACATTAAATAAAGATTACTAAACATTTAAATACTAATTAATCTTGTTTAATGGTAATTAATCATGATTAGTGGATAAATAAATAAAATATTCTTACTTCTAAAAGTGAATTTACTAAAATATCTAAAAGTGAGATTACCAAAATATCCTTGAAATTCTACTATAAATCATTCCTTTTAATTTGTAAACAAGAATGCACCAGACACCTTAGGATGTTCCCTTTACACGGCCGACCACATGTATGGCAAAGAATTGGCCACGCAAGAAAATAATATAAACTAAAAATAAATAATAACTAAAAATAAGGGTAAATTATAACCTAGTCTAAGATGGGTGTTGAATTTGGCTTTTCTGAATTAAATCTCAATGACAACCTATGTACTAATGATAAATGCTTTCTATACTTGATTCTACATTGTAATTCATAAATGATAATTGAGAGTTTTAAGCTATTCATTGAGAAAATTTACTATTATTAATTTCATTTTATTTATATTTCAGGAAAAAGGATCAAGAAGTGAAAACTTTAAAAGATATTGGGAATTGAAACACACAAAGAACCAGAGATATATATGGGAAAGTACATGCCCTTGTATATGAGTGTGTATCTCACTGGTTGCATGAATCAAGAACACAATTAAGGCAGAGATATACACGGGCAAGTACATGTCTGTGTATATGAACGTGTATCTCACTGGTCGCATCAATTGAAGTGTATCATCAAAACCAAAGATGTACACGGCCAAAGTACATGGCCGTGTACATGGGCATGTACTTTTCAAGAAAGTTGTGAAGTGCAATTATTAGAGATCAGAGATGTACACGGCCAAAGTACATGGCCGTGTACATGAGTGTGTACTTTTAACGTACGTCAGAATTTAAATTTCTGCGAGAAGATGAGCCCTTGGGCCACTTATATAAAAGGGAACTTGGCACAGAAACCTAAAAAGAGACGATTTTGAAGGGAAGAAAGACTCAGAGATGGCTGGAGGATGGGATCAAGCATTTTATTTCATCTCTTTTGTAATTTTAGTTTGAAGATGTTTAGGTTCTAATTTTCCTTTGAGTATTTAGACGTAATGAATCCTAATTGACCAAATTTTCTGGAATTCTTCTAATGCTATTTCATGTTCTTTTCTCTTGGGTTTAATTGAGTAGTATCATTTTTTTCCATCTTATTTTTTTGTTTGAATTTGAGTAAAATTCCTACATGAAATTGACATTGCTCAATTAAAAAGACTTGAATGTATTTCTAGAGATAGAAAGACATAAGTTTTCGGTATTAGGATTAACCCTAATTATGGAATTCATAATGAACTTAATGCAACCTAGGGGTATTAATTAAGAAAGAGATTCTGATTGATCAACCGAGGGTTATGAATCATTATCCTTGAGAAATGTATTGATTTAATTTAGAATTTCCTGCAGCGATAAGGGTTTAGAACTAAGTAGTTGAAGAAGAATTTCAGTTATTTGGACACTTAGGAGGATTTACAGTTTAGATACTTGCCTATTTTTCTTGAATACCTTTAGTCATACTTTTCTATAATTTATTATTATAAGAAATATGTTCCTTTCAATTTATTATTCTTTTATTTTTTATCAATTTTATCAAAAAAAATTATTTTTCATATTTATTAACAATTGTGCAATTAAAGAAGTAATTCTTAATAACAGTCCTTGTGAATACAACACTTGGTACTCTATTTTTCATAATATTACTCTGACAACGGGTACACTTGCCCAGTAATCAATTTTTACACACCAACTAACATGCTAGATCGTTCGATTAGTTTGCATCATCTTGAACAAGTTAATGAAACTTACCTAAATAACTTATTGAAAAAAGTAAAATTAATCTAAATAAGCATAGAATAAAACTTAAAAATGTTAGATTATTTTAATAATCTTATTATAGTGGCCTATGTAACTTATAACATGACTCTAATTAAGGGTTTAATATGATGGTGGTTAAATATAAAATATAGAGTCATTGAAGGTAAAATTGTAAATACAATTATAAAGAAACCCTCCCCTCTCCCTTCATATAAATCAAAGAGCAGTTACCAAAGAGTTGGAGAAAATACCAAGGGATCAACGACATCAAAGAGAGAGGCAACATCAAAGAACAATTAATTCAGGTTAGTACTCTCTAAACCCTTAATTGTATGAGAACAATATATTGTGTTGTAAGAGCAACGTAAATTAAGATCTCTAAGGAAAAAAGTAATTTCATAATAGTCATTGCATAATGAAAATTACATAATGAATTAAAGAAAAATCTAACAAAAAACACATGGATTGGCAAGGAATAAAATTAACAAGTAAGATGCTTGTCTTGTGAAGGAGTTGCATGGTTGTGAAGTTACACACCCAAATTACTTTAGGTTTTAAGGTATTTAAAACTAAATCCAATTAATTAGGATATACTAAGACTTAAATTGTGTAATTAGTTAAGTCAAGCCATTAAATTTTTTGCCTATAAATAGGGAGCTAGATGAAGATATTCTTTTAAATTGCACCAAGAGTTCTATTCACTCTTGAAACTCTCTCTCAACCAGAAACACCTCTTTTGCTAAAACTCTTGCCTAAATACTCATTTTTCCAAGTTTCATCTTTAAACTTGAAAGATAAAATTAAAACACTAAGAAACCTTCATAGCCTTTTGGGGAAGTTCTTTAATACATCATTGAAGTATCAAGGCTTTGCAAGTTCAACTTCCTTTCGGTGAGAATTCAATCCACTTGAATTTGAGGTAAAGGAGGGCAGTACGTTAATCACTTTAGTATGATAAAAGTAAATGCATAATTGGAGAGTAAAACCTTAATCCTCGAAACTTGATTTAGTATGTTAAGTTTCATGTTAAAAATATAAAATGTTTAAATTATAAAGTTTATTAAAGTATAGAATATAAAACAAGTTGGAAAGTAAGCCTTAATTAATAAAAAGGAATTTAGACCTTGTAATAATTCAAAGAGAGACATGAACTAGGATGAGTCAAGATAGGACATGTAACAATAAAATTAGAAATCAATTACTAGTTAAAGAAAAGAAACAAGGTTCTTGTAGAAAGGCAAAGATAGACATGTAAGTAGAGATTATGATAGGATAAGACCAGATAAGTAAGCAAAAACATGATATCATGCAACAAGATGTTTGATAAAGATGTTATATAAAAATTTACTCCTATATATCAATGATATTCATAAAGAATTTGTAATTAGTATCATGTTATTGAATGCTAAAGATGTTTGATAAAAAGTCACGTAGTTGGAGAGATGAATTGCGTTAAGACTTTGATCATAGCCTCTATGACTGTATAGTGTAATTTTATTTGTTTTCTAATATAAAATGGATGGAAATGGTAATGAAAAAGGTCTTTAAGAGAAAAAAAAAAATAATCATGCAAATCTTTTACAATGGAATCACGTAAAATTATTGTTGGAAACATGAGAGATCTCACACCATAAATGTGATATCAAATAGTTGTATATTTATTTTAAATTTGTAAACGTTATATATGTAATAGGAGCTTTAATTTAAATGGATAATTTTAGAGTAAAATTACTCAATAAAAAGCTAATAAAATTAACTGTGTAGTTATTAGTTACACATAGCATAATTACAATGTACAAACACCCTAAAAATGTGAAAAATAACAATGGCAAAGATAGAGTTACAACATTTTACCTGTAGATGTTGTATGGACTCTGTCCCAATCATAAAGAATGATATACACACTCCTGTCGTGTCAATATTATATAGTCTCTTCTTTTTGCAGAGTTGAAACTATTTATTGGAAGAAAATTATTTGCAAAAGATTAATTAAGGTCAGATGAGTATCAAAATTACATATAAGAGTGTACAAAATTTAGACATGCTCATTGAGTTAAAAGATTAATTAATGGTCTATTTGTACCTTGAATTTCAGTTAAACCTTGGCTTGGAGAGACATCTGTTTCATTCGAAGATCATCAATACACGATGCAGTGTTTCCCTTCTTACGCATGAAACCAAGATTTAAAAGTTAATTTTTAAATAGTATGCAATTCAGTTAAACCGTAATGGCACGAGAATGTATATAGTAAATGTTTGTCTATGATTTTCTACCAAAACAAAAATGGAGAAAAAACTACAATTAGAGGAAAGTTCAA